ATCATCAGGCACAGCCTGCTTGGGCAGGGACCATCCTCAGAAGCAAAGCAGGAAGAAGTCGCCAAAACGATTTGAGCAAATCAAAGAGCTCAGGACCCCTGGGTCATCGTTCGTGTCTTCATTTCGTGAAAGAAGAGAACATCCGAATCGTTGCCGCACACCACCCACGTGCAGAGCATGACAAACCGACGGCTGACACGCTAAACCTGGCAATCCTCTCCGGGCATCGGCATCACCCGAAACAATGACCCAGGCTTCTTCAAACGTTCTCACACCTCTGTTTCCTGTCTTTTTTTGAGATCCGCGCTCGGACGGTGTGCTGTGCATCCTGTGATTTTCGGAATCATCCTGCAGCCCACAAAGGGGGCCGCGGACGCTGTCGCTCATACTCGCTCGATTCGCGCCGCGATGCGCATGCGAGCATGCGCCGGCTCGCGGCCTGTCGCTATGTCTATACATCTGGCCTGTACTTGCCTGGGTGCACCGAGGAGCATATAGGACAACCAAACTACGAGATGTGGTGGAAAAGAAAAGACATTCAAGCCAGCAAGCAGTCAACAAACATGGAACCAATCCAGGTCCGGATATCACAATCATGTATCACCAGCAAAACCAGTGTTTACAGGCTGGTGGATTCCGGACATCCTCTATTTCCTCATGATCTTTCCCTGGACCAGTGCGAACTGGATTGACAGCTGAGCCAACAGTATATAGAATATGGAAGATGAAGCCCCAAAAAAGCACATCTTCTGTGTGAAAGGTGGTACCAATAACTGCAATGGCTGCCAGTTTCATCCAGTTTCTAAGTCTATGAGAAGGGGTTCTCCACCTGCATTCCAGGAAAATGAGTTATGATCATCAACTGATGGCCCTGACCTATGCGCGGACAAGCGGATGCTTCGGTTGATCAAACGCACAACCATTTACAACCATGAATGGATCTCAACAAAACCGCATGCACCTGTGGCAAGGCTTCACTCCCTCGCGTCTCACTTCAACAAGTTGAGCCTGGGCCGTGTGAGATTTCGCCAAGTGAGTTGATTCCTGGGACATGTGAGTTGATTTCTGAGCAAAGTTGCTATAGGGTGTTAATGTATTTCATTCAAACTTAGGACTTACGTAGGATGTTCTGTATCATCTTGCAGCAAAACTGCCACATGGACCCTTCTTTTGGGCATCTCACAAATTTCGCACATCGACGTGTTTTGATACTTTGGACGTTGCAGTTTAATGTTGTGCTCAATGTTTGGGAGGTTGCCAGGGAAGACTCAAGATCAAATGGTGCATGAGTGTTCCTTGCATGGAGGCCATCGCTATTAGCTTGGAGGCCAGCGCCGCTCTTAGGTATGTCCTTGCATTGAAGCAATGCCAATTGTGCCGTCAGCACATTTTAAGCGAGGAGAAAAAGGGATGGATCTTCTCACTTCTCGGCTGACCGAGAAACCCTCTCTTGAGCTCATTTGGTGTACCAAACACATCCAAACACACTGAGACACACGGAGGTTTGGACCTGGTTCCCAAACTGTTCATAGGGACCTTCCTGCAGGGTAACCAGAAGAGATATTTCGTTGACACATCCAATGTGAAAAGTGATGAAACTTGCATAGTTTTAATGTCGCATGAGACGAACGAGACCTGAATCAAATGCCTACTTCCAATGACGATGGTATTATGTCGACCACCTCAGCCTTCCGGCCGCCGCTGAAAGCCCGAGCATGGCCCGAGCATGGACACACCGGTGTCCACTCGGATTCCACAAGGAAACCAATCGTGAACGACCACTCCCGGGTCCTCCGAACTGAACGATCACTCGTCGACGTCGTGACTGAGTGACTGAAACAGTTGGCTCGCCGAGAAAAAGACAGAACAAACTACGCACCCCGAACCAAAAGGTGTGAAATCAACCTAAACTCCCAGACCTATACAGGATAACCCAACAACATCCAAAAGAAAACGCGTCTAGGAAACCTTGGGCATGGCGAATTCGTCTGATCCCCCCGAGGCTCGCCGGGCCGGACGTCCACAGGCCCCACGTCGCCCAGTGGCACGCTCACACCCGCCGACGCCGTGTCGGGCGACACCTTCCACTCCTCGAGGCGAACGGACGAAGGGCTTGGAGGGACACGAGATGGTCGGCGTTCCAAAGGTTCGTGGGGTTCCAGGCGCAGAGACTCGGGTTCGCCTTGTTATGTTCTGCTCCTTGTTTCATTCAGTCTTGTCCTTGCTTTGTTGAAGTTCCTACATGTACTGTGTTTGCAAGAGGTTGCACGAGTCTAGACATACGCCCAAAATGCGAGCTACCAGTATGTTGCCCATAATCGATATACACCCGCCCACTCTCGGGGTGGAAAACGGAAAGCCCCACTCTGTATACAGCTATAGCTGCGCCCGCATGGTGACGCGCACCGCTGCCTCGTCGTCCGCTCCATCATCTGCCTCAGGAAGTTCCAGGAGCGGCAAAGGTTCCGCCTCGGGCGCCGCCTGCGGAGCGGAGCGATCGGCGGAGCAGCTTGAGGAGCTTGAGGAGCAGCGTTCCGGGAGCGCCGAGGCGGGTGCCTTAAGATGGACCTTTGTCAAGAGTCATTTGAGACTCCGGGACATCCATCAACAATGAGGATTCGGCCGTGAACTTTGGGACGCCCCCGTTCCGGGCCCTTTTCAAGAGAGCCAGGACCCAAAAACCGTCGAGAGAAGCGCATAGATGAACAGGCACTCGAGGATCGGTTACATCTTAGATTAGAAGGAACTCTAGGTTCGCTAGAGTATGGTCTTCAGATCCAGAGTAGTGGAGACAACTCCTACAGCACCGATGTGGAGAAGAACCGCTCCTCACCAAGCAAGCAACGGCACTGGAAAAAGACCAGCCCAGAGGGACGGTTCCATGTTTGATTGGCCACTGAAAACCCGTTGGTTTCATTGGTCGGGGCTGCAATGGCCTACAGCGCGCAGGATGGAATTTGAGGCTATACCAATGTCACCAGGGTGACACGGCAACTGGGCATTTCCAGCTTCATCGCCAAAACCTCAAAATAGACCCGCCCCCAAAAAACGGTCTTCGTTGTAAGCCAATCGACCCGCCCCGATTGCACCACAAAATCCGCTTCAACACCAAACGTGAACCTTCAAGAATTGTTGTAGTGTCTGGAGGTCCCTATAGGTCGTGGGCTGGGGCAGGTGCTGGCAGGTAATTTTCATATATATTCCATCCACTCACCCACCCACCCACCCAGTGCACTGCGCACCTTGGGGCCCAATCGCGGTGTCATCGGCGTGGAGGGACGGCTGTGGGGGCTCTTGACCTCCTCCTCTTCATCGCTGGGAGCGATCGTGCTCAAATGGCCTCGAGCAGGCCATCGGCGGAGAGGACACAGCTGGGAGGTGGAAGAATGTGGAGCGGAGAGGCTGCAGATTGAGTCGGGGGTGTCGTTTGTTGTTGCGTTTTCACATGATGTGGATTAGAACGCGTGTCGATTTCATTCCAATGGACACTCCTATGCTTACTGTCAGCTCTTGAAACGTTTGACGCCTGCCGTCGTATGATTTTTCCCCACTGCTTCTGCGCCCCGTATCCGTGACCACCACGGCAGCAAACACGCGTACGCAGTTCTTAGCTCACGAAGGGGCTTATGCAAGACTTACGAGGCCTAATTGCACCAAACCACGAGGAGAGAAGCACAATGTGTTCAGATATTGGCACCTTACTATACGATCTAAATTCTATAGTAAAACCACTAAAACCACCCAAAGACCGGGCACTATATGCTTCCTTCATGAACCCAGGGAACAAAGGCAGGCCATATATGGCCATATCATCAGGAGGGCTCAGCAAATCTTTTGGGCCTTTGGATATCTTTTGCGGTCTCGAAGGTCACCAGCGGAGGGTTTCCCTCAAACCCTCACCCCCGGCGAAAGCAAGCCTCCACAAACCCCCAACCGGCCACCAAAAAGCAAGACACCCTCGGTGCATGTCCGTTTCCCTCTCCTCCATGTGCGTTTCTTCAGACCTTCATCCGCCAGGCGGCTCAAAGGCGAGTAGAAGGCTCCTTTGTAACCCTCCTTGGGCGCCCATGTCAGCGTCGCCAAGGCTCCCGAGGTCAACATCGCCAGTGGGTCGAGGGGTCGGCGCGTAGCAGGTGCTCGCTGCTTCGGAGCAGGTGCGGAGTCGCTGGGACCCGGGAGCCGTGTGTTTGGCGGGCCGTTAACGAGCCAAGACTCGAACCAGCAGGTCTCCCAATGGTCCGAGCGGCGTTCGTCGGAGTCAGAGGAGTTCATGGGTGAGTCCGAAGTTCAGAGTTCGCAGCCATGGGGTCGACTCACATTCAAACCAACACGTGAGTTCACGCGTCAGTGAGACCGAAGACGAACATGAGGGTGTGTATCAAGTCTATGAGACCGTAGACCTCCCAGACCGACTGAGGTCTCAGGCTTTTCATGGGAAATAGAGCAGTCTACCCAGTCTCATGAAAGAAAATACACCAGGCCACGGTGGTGCTGGATTAGATTCGACTCTTAGGACAGCCCCGCAGTGGTCTCGGTCTCCTCTTAAGAAGACGGGCGATGACAACAGGTTTCGTGAGCAACTGAACCGCGGGTCGGTTGCCACCAGTCGGCCCGCGGTCGTTGGAACAATGAGAGACACACACAAAGACCATTCACCACGGAGGTGGTGATGAAAACCACGGAGGTGGTGATGAAAAATCAAACGTTGGGCGATGTCTGAGGTGGCTGGTCAAGTGGATTGATTGAGTGGTCGCTTTAGTTTTAGAATGGATGGCACAAACCCCAAGAGGTTTGTTGATGGAGGTCCATATATCAACCACCTTTTGGGGATCTTGCCAGAGAAATGTCCCAACGTTACCAGCTCAAAGCACCTAAAAACAAACCTCTCAAATGCGAATTTGGCCGACGGTCCCATCATAATGCGAATTAGATCGATGGAGTGGACACCAACGTTCACGCCGAGCACCGCACGAGGCCTTCGCCAACGGTGGACCCCGCGCCTCCAAGCCTTCCGCCAGCTTTCGGCGCGCAGCGGGGCGACGTCGAACCTCAAAGCGCTGCGAGGCGAAGGGCTCCGGAGCTGCGGGGTTCCGCTCTGCGGGAAAACCCGCTGCGGGGCCTGGCCAAAACCTGGAAGCTGAGGAAGTGTCACCTTCTCAGACCATCCCTGGCGCGAACCTCGTGAAGTGTCACGATTTCAACCACACCCAACTGAATATCCATGAATCAAACGAATGCAGGCTGAGAAATCGTTGAACCGACGCCCCGTCACGTCATCCAGTCCACCCCCGTTGCTGCTCTGTGAGCAAAACAAATGCAACCTGGCTGCATCCAGCGGGGTTGTTGGGAAGTCTTACACTGTACAAATACTGGAGGTACGCTACCACTTTTGATCCGCTTTGGGCCGTGAATTTGCTAAAAGAGGTGGCGAACTTGCATACAATTGCCAGGAGTTGGGCAAATTCCATTTCGGTGCTTGGTTTGGCATCTGTCAGGCTGCTTCCAAGACCTGTGCCAACCTTTGTCTCATCCTGTGTATTGTGTTCTTTCTGTTTGTTTTGTTGGTGACTACATGCCTTGCTTGTCAGCTAAATTGCCCTGTACCGGCTTTCCGTTGTCTGATTCGCACTTTCTCTGTTGTGAAGTTGCTTCGTCCTTTGTTCTGCTGTGATTGTTTACTGCACCCTCGTTTTTTGCTTTCTCTGTTTATTATTCTGGTATTATATGTAATGCTGCCTTGTGGTTGAAAAGAAAACAAAACTCTCGGACATCCACGTCGACTTTGCCCGACTCTTGCCCTCTGAGTTGTCCTTCAACTCATGTTCCGGTATACCTGGTCATAAACGATTTCAATTGAACATCCCGAGAGTTCTTTGTAAAAATACCCTCGAGCCAAGGGACATGGCTACCAACCTTTGAATTTAGGTAGGATCTGCCCCAAAAGCCCATGGCTTGTATTGGAGTTTTTCTGGGCGACTAGCCGGATCTGTCCTGGGTACCAACTTGCAGGACAGAATGTGCGTATATAAACTCCATCCTGCAGAAGTTCATCGAAGCTAGACAGTGAACAGACTGGACTAGCTGACAATGGAATTGGAACTTCAGTGCGGACCGCTCGAACATGTAAGATTGCAGCACGGTTTCATGACGTCTAAGCTCTCCAACGTCTGCGCAGTGCGAACACATCTTTTTGA